ATTCCACAGCAGAATGCCACGCTCTAACTTTAGATTTTGATCCTTGTTGTAATGGAAACTTATCCCAGGAATAGTCCCACATTCCACTGCAATTTCAGACTAAATGTATCAGAGCCTATCTCCACAGTTGTGCTGGAAGTCTCTGAAGCCCTCCTAATGTGTCAAACATATATGTATAACTCCTACTGATGCATGTTTACCAACATTCTAATTGTAACATTGGTACAGTTCTATTCTTTTCCACTAGTATTATACAAAATATTAATACATTGTCTTTCCTAATTAGGTCTCAAATTTTTTGAACTATGGTTGTATCTTTTTTTAAGGTGTTTATTAAATTATAGTGAACATACAATATTATGTTCATTTCAGGCGTACATCATAGTTATTCAGCAGTTATGTACTAAAGAAGTGATCACCATGATAAGTTCAGCAACCATCTAACACTCTACTATGATACCACAATATTATTGACTATATTCCCCATGCTGTACATTACATCCCCATGACATATTTGTTTTATATCTGGAAATTTGGACCTCTTATTCCCCTTCACCTTTCCCCCACCCTTTTTCATTTTTCAATTACAGTTGACATTCAATATTATTTTATATTAATTTCAGGTGTATGCACAGTGGTTAGACATTTATATAATTTAAGAAGTGATTCCCCTGTCTAGTGTAGTACCCATCTGGCACTAGTTATTACCATATTATTGACTATATTCCCTATGCTTTACTTTACACCCATGACTGTTTTGTAAGTACCAATTTGTACTCCTTAATGCCTTCACTTTTTTATCCCCACCCCCCTAACCTCTATCCCATCTTCCACCCTGATAAACCTAGTACCCATCTGAGACCATGCATAATTATTACAATATTACTGACTATATTCCTTATGATATACCCCACATCCCCATGACTACTGTGTAACAACCAATTTGTACTTTTTAACCCCTTCACCTTTTTTCACCCACCCTCCTAATGGCCCCTCCCATCTGGACACCATCAAAATGTTCTCTGTATCTATGAGTTTATTTCCATTTTCTTTGTTTCTTTATTTTATTATTTAAATTCCACATATAAGCAAAATCACAGTGCACCTGTCTTTCTCTATCTGACACACTGCACACAGCACAATACCCACCAGGTCCATCCATGCCTCTGCAAATGGCAAGAACCCATACCTTCCATGTCTTTTTATTATTACCCATGGAGCAATATTCCATTGTGTATATGTACCACTTCCTCTTTATTCATTCATCCATTAATGGACACAAAGGCTATCTCCACATTTTGGCCATGCTGCAATGAACATATGGATGCACAAGTACCCTTGAAGTAGCATTTTGGGTTTCTTTGAACAAATACCCAGAATGAGATTACTGGGTCCTTCTTGGTCTCTAGACTTTGTTATAAAGTCTGTTTTGTCGGGTATAAGTATTGCTACTCCAGATTTTTTGTTTGTCTGTTTGTTTCAATTTTCATGAAATATCTTTTTCCATCCCTTTACTTTCGGACTGTGTGTGCCTTTCAGTCTGAAGTGAGTATCTTATAGGGTCTTGTTTTCTCATCCATTCAGTCACCCTATCTTTTGATTAAAGCATTTAACCCATTTACATTTAAAGTAATTGTTGATAGATATGTAGTTTTATTTATTTATTTATTATTTATTTATTTATTTATTTATTTATTTATTTATTTATTTATTTATCTTAAAGAAGTCCCTCTAACATTCCTCGTAATACTGGTTTGGTGGTGATGAACTCCTTTAGCTTTTTCTTGTCTGGGAAGCTCTTTATCTGTCCTTCAATTCTAAATGATAGCTTTCCTGGATAGAGTCATCTTGGTTTTCTTGCCTGTCATCACTTTGAATATTTTGTGCCAGTCCCTTCTGGCTGGCCAAATTTCTGTTGAGAAATGAGCTGACAGTCTTATTGGAGCTCCCTTGTAGGTAACTAACTGTTTTTCTCTTGCTGCTTTTAAGATTCTTTCTTTGTTTTTAAACTTTGGCATTTTAATTATGGTGTGTCTTCGTGTGAGCATCTTTGAGTTCATCTCGTTGGGAATCTCTGTGCCCTCTGAGCTGTATGTCTATTTCCTTTACCAGATTAGGAAAGTTTTCCATCATTATTTCTCTCTCTTCTCCTTCTGGTACCCTTATGATGTGAATGTTGGTACACTAGATATTGTCCCAGAGGCCCCTTAAACTGTCCTCATCTTTTTTTATCCTTTTTCTTTTTCTTTTTGCTGTTACTATTGAGTGTTTTCTGCTACCTTGTCATCTAAATCGCTGATTCAATATTTTGCTTAATGTAGTCTACTATTGATCCCTCCAATGTAATCTTCATTTCAGTAATTGCATTCTTCATTTCTGAATGGTTCTTTTTTATGTTTTTCATCTCCATTTTTATGTTCCCTATCCCTTTGTTAAAGTTCTCACTGAATTCATCTACTCTTCCCCTAAGTTCATTGGGCATCCTTATAACCAGTGTTTAGAACTCTTCATCTGGTAGATTGCTTGTCTCCATTTTGTTTGCTTCTTTTTCTGGAGCTTTGTTCTTTCATTTGGGACATGTTTCTTTGTCTCCCTATTTGACTGCCTCCCTGTTTTAGTTTCTATGTATTAGGTAGGGCTGTTATGCCTTTCAGTCTTAGTAGAGTGGCCTTATGTAGTAAATTGACCAGAAATTATGGCTGTGTCTTGATTCAGTAGTAATGCTCTCATTTGGAAGAGACCAAAAAAAAAAAATCTGTCTTAAGGTGTGGCTTAATTTCAGGCTAATATGATGTTATCAGGATCTACCTTTTAACTCAAAGAGGCTCTCCCCTTTTCTTCATGCCTGAAGCTCCTAGGGCTGTAACCTCCCATTTTTTAATCTAGCAGGGAAGAGCAAGAATCTTTTCCCAGAAGTCCCATTCAAAGAATTATCTGCTATGATAGGATCATGATCCCACCCTTGAGCCAATCCCTGTGGCCAGATGAATACAATGCACTAATTAGCTTAGGCCTTAATAACTCCCCTGGAGTGATCGAAAGAAATTGACTTCAAAGGGAAGCAGGTGGCCTTAGATTTGGGTGGGGGATACTTTCTGGAGAGAAGTCAGAAAAAGGTCATCGTAAATCAAGAAATGATGCTGACAGCAACAGCAACCTCTATCCTTGTTATATAATCTGCTGCCCAGGAGAGAGCTTCTAGTTAGCAAATTAAAGTGTTTCCTTATGAACTGTGTTATACCATGATCATATTCTCTCCTTTCTCTGAATTTCTCTATATTCATTATTCTTTTCTCCCATATACTGCATTGTGCTTTAGTTATTTATATGCATTTGTCCCCCCAATTAGATCATCAGCTATTTCAAGGCAGGAATGGGTTTGAATAACTGTGGATTCTACATTTTGTCTTTTACATAGTAGACATCCTCACTATTCAACAAATAATTATGTGTTGAATAAATGAAGGGATAAGAAATGAGTGAGGCTTATTCATACTGTGATCACATCATGGTAATGTAATGCTTTGTTTGAGTGGAGGGGAGCGTGTAAGGTGCTAATACACACACAAGGTAAAAAACACTTCACTCCGGTCAGAATGGTTATCATCAATAAATCAACAAACAACAAGTGCTGGTGAGGCTGGGGAGAAAAGGGAACCCTGGTGCA